TTTTTTTTTTTTTTTTGAGTTTTCTAATACTTCCGCAAGCCACTGACACGCTGAAACTCGCGGCTACGTGATTCATTTTTTCGACCAAGCGTTCGTGATCATGTCAGCCGCTTTCTCAGCGACCATCATGATCGCTGCCACGGGATTGCTGTTTGGCACAGTCGGGAATACAGATGCGTCCGCGACTCGAACGTTCGACACGCCGCGCACCCGTAACTCCGGATCGACGACAGCTGTTCGATCGTCGTAGGCTCCCATTTTGCACGTCCCTGACTGATGATTCTCCGGCCCGGTGGTTGCTCTCACGTGACATTCCCAGTAAGCGTCGCTCGCGAAGTGATAACTGCGGCAATTTGTACGAGACGACGATTAATCGCGCGTTATTAAGATTAATTAACATGCTCGAGACGGCGTCGGTCCCTGCGGACCGACGCCCCGCGATTCGTTGGCCCGGCGTCGGTCCGGCGGGACCGACACTCGCAATGTTCGTTTGGCCGGCGTCGAACACTTTAGTGCGCAGTTCATCGAGTCTGACAGATACACTTGATTTTTATTAATATAAAAATACACGTAAAAAGACTAATTTATATAACCATAAAGAAATACATGTTCGTCTCGAGCGTGTTAACGATTTATTTATATTAATTAACGAGACAGAGGCACATTGAGATTTACCTAATTAGAATATCTGAAACATTGAATTTTTATTTCAATGGAGAGATTCGGAAATATTAATTTTTTAATTGTTTCTGATTGTTGAGATTGCGAGCGAATGAGTGAATTGTATTTAATTGCATGATCTATTTTTTGTATGATATTATTGATAAACAAGTATAATTATATCAGTAATAAACATATATATCGAGAGCAAAACTAATATTATCAACAAACATGTATATATTATATTAATTGACAAATATGATAAAAAAAATAAACACGTGTATTGAAAACAAAAACAGTATTAACAAACAAATATTATTACTAAAATATTACAATTACGTTTACGTCATTAGTATATTATTAATATTTATAATATATTAAGTATAATAATATATAATATAATTATAATACACTAATAACAAACGTAATGAATAAGCATATTAAGAACAAATACGCATATATCGATACACGATAAATTTATGAAGTTCATTTATCACAAAGAAACGAAAGCGAGCTCTTTCTACTCACTCGGTGCAAAGAGGATGAACGCTGGTTTCCAGTCTAAAATCCCACTGCCTCATGGTCCTCGTCCTGGTCAGTTCGATCACCTTCCTCACACCCTCGACCAACACCTTCAAGTCCTTCGTATCCACGAAGTAATTCGGATAGATCAACGGGGGGCTGGTTGGGTCACCAGATCGGAGCCTCAAGTGTCCCCTGCTGCCCACGGTGACTGTGGTCGGCCTGACTACGATCTGCCTTCTGTCCGAGCAGAAACCGATCGCCCCGTTCAGGCACTCAAATTCTAGACCAGTCCTCGGGCAATTCGGCGAGAACCCGTCGAAGAACACCTGAATGTCGGGGACCCCGGCAACGGCGTAGCTGCTCTCGAGGAACGCGGTCACCTGCGTCAGCCCCGTGCTGCTCAGAGGTCCGGTTCTCGTCTCGAGGTACTCGTTCACGCTGTTCATCGTCATTTGCTCGTAAGCGGTGTCCCTGATGCTGAAGTGAACCGCCACGGATACGTGATTGTGAAGGTTCCTCCCCACGGGCAGATCCTTCACCACGTGCAGACCCAATTTGGTCAGGTGTTCCTTCGGCCCGATCCCAGAGTTCAAGAGTATGTGAGGCGAGCCGATCGCCCCTGCCGACAGGACGACCTCCTTGTCGGCCTTCACCACCCTCCTGTACCCGTCCTTGTCGATCAGTTCCACGCCGTAGGCCTTGCTCTGCCACTGGTTGATCAGAACTCGCGTCACTTGCGCGTTTATCAGCACCCTGAGATTCGGCCTGTGGTGAACTGGCCTCAGGTAGTTGCGCGAGGTCGTGCCACGGACGCCGTTGTCGGTGGTCATCGGGGCTACCATGAAGCCCGTCTGCGTGTACTCTTTCAAATTCGACGTTCTGTAGCCGAGCTCGGAGGCGGCTTTTAGAAGCTCGTCCGCGAACGCTGGCTTGTCAGGGTAGTACTGGATCTTCATTGGTCCCGGCACCGGCACTGTTCTTTCCTTCTCGGACAGTATCCGCGGGTCGATCGGGTCCTCCGCGCGTTCGAAGTAGTGCGCGATCTCGTCGTAGGACCAACCGGTAGCGCCCGATCGGGCCCAGCTATTGTAGACCTCCGGGTGACCGCGAGCGTACATCATCCCGTACATACCCGCGGTGCCTGATATCATCCTCCCTCGCGGCCAGGTGCACACTCCATCGGTTTCTGGACACGAGAATTTTTTTTTTTTTTTACTTTGTCCGATTGCTTATGGGACAAGGTGTCCCATTTTAGCCCTTTACACTAGACTGTACCTTTTAACCTCTTGCCCTCTTTTTTTTGTGCTATATTTTCTCAGTATATTTAAGTATATTTAAATATAACCCAGGCGAAACAAATAATAAATTTATTACTTCTTAGTAATAATTTCTATCCAGTGATATCATACCGACGGTAGTTCAGAAAGAAAGCGACGAATTATTGTATACGGTTTGGTCCGTGAACCAGTTACCAGCGCATAGGTTAAAAGGAGGCTAGAAGCCAATATGGCGTCGCCCTAACCTCGTCAAATGTGCTGAAAACTCTTAATTCTACAAATGCAGATATAATTGTTAAACTAGTTAAACTATAACAACAACGTAAGAAAAATAAGAGAATTTCAGAAGAAGATAGAGTCAATTGGCACTCGTTTGGAATAATTCACATAAACTAGACTTCTCACTGCTTCTTACGGAAGTTACGGGAGAGAGAGGATTTCATTTGCTACTAGATTAATAGAATTTTATTATAGATTTTGAGGAATTATAATTATTTTATTCTGATGAAATTACGAGAGAGAGGATTTTATTTGTTGTTGTGTATAGAGATGAATAAATAGAATACGAATTTTTATTGCAGAATTATAATTATTTTGCTATAAGTTTTCTATAGTTACGTAGGAGAGAATTTCCTTTGCTATTGTTACAAACAAACATGACAAAAATAATGAACAATAAATTTTCCAAAGTAAAAAGTATAGTACAAAACAAACAAAGTAAAGTGGGAATCATCTTTTCGAAAAAAAAAAAAAAAGTCATCAGATAGATACATGACAGCTATTTCGAAAAATTGAAAAATTTCTTGCGAATGTGTGAAGATCATCACACTTGTTTGTATATATGTGGAAAAATCAATTTTGCAACAAATACGCGTTATGTAGATCGTTTACCTAAACAAGCGGTTGGGTGAGGTTCTGTTGGCTCCGTTTTGAAATTCCAATCCAAAGTCGAGTTGACCGCGTGAACAGCCAGTCCGGGGATTGAAGTCATCGACGGTTCTTCCGGTCCTGCTTCGATCAGGAGGACCCTCCACCAAGGATTGTCGCTCAATCTCCGGGCAATTATAGGCCCGGCTACTCCACCACCGATTACGATAAAGTCGAACCTACGGTTTAATAATAAAAACGTCACATTAGGTGAATAATTGTATATACCATATAGAAATTGTTCAAAGACCGTGGACGTTCACATTTCATAAAATTAAATAAATGGAAGAAATACTAAGTGATAAGTTCTTTTATTGAAATATTAGATAATTTGTAATTCACATTTGAGTGAAATTAAATGAATAGGAGAATTATTAAGTAGACTGTATCATTGAAATGTTAGAAAATTTATAGTTCACTGGTATAACTTGTTATATGAAGTTAATATAAATAAATAAAAGATACATTAAATGATAGACTATTTTATTGAAATATTAGATAATTTATAATTCACATTTAAGTGAAATTAAATAAATAGAAGAATTATTAAATAGACTGTTTTATTGAAATGTTGGAAAATTTATAGTTCACTTATATAACTTACTATATGAAATTAATATAAATAAATAAAAGATACACTAAATGACAGACTGTTTTATTAAAATATTAGGTAATTTGTAATTTAAGCAAAATTAAATAAATAGAAGAATTATTAAGGAATAGGCTGTTTCATTAAAATGTTAGAAAATTTATAATTCACTATATACAATTGAAGAAATAGAAGATTTGCTAAATGATAGACTGTTCTATTGAAATATTAGATAATTTATAATTCACATTTCGGGACGATCAATTTCCTGGTTCCATTCTTACCATTCGTTCGGCACTTCCTCTTTGCCAAGTCTGCGGCAAGGATCCGACAGATCGCACGTGGACGCGATCAGTTTCTCGAACAAGCTCGTGAATGATGTTTTCACGCCGCATTTGGACGCCATGTACGACGTGTCTTTGAAGCTGCATGAGCAGCATGACTTCGTTCCGTTGTTCGTGCCCAATTCGCCAAGCTGAAACTAGTTAACTATACGTCTTTAATTAAACCGTTTTCACTTTCTAGATGTTGC